TGAGAGTCTTTCTTGTCTGCAGATATTCTACTAAATTTCCATGTGCTGGTTTAGAAAACAATATATTAGTTCATACTTTCAATCATATTCAGTTATTATTAAAACCAAATGTGAATAAAGACAAAGCTGGATGTCTGAATCATGACTGTCACAAGCCTATCACTTTCTTTAATAGATTATTTTAATTTTTCTTCATTAATTTACTTATTCACTTTACATCCTGATTGACCTTCCTCAGAGACGGGACACCACTCTGCCCCCGTTACCGTATCAAGCCTCCATGGAACATTTAGTTGAATCAGGACTGGGCTTCATTTTTATTCTCTTCCATTGAGGCTAGATATGTCAGCCCAGGTAGGGGAAATAGATCCAAAAGACAGGCAACAGAATCCTAGTTGGAGACAGCTCCTGATCCAATTGCTAGGGGACTCACATAAAGACCAAACTGCACATCTTCTTGACCTCTCTAGGTCCCTCGATCCTTCACCCATCTCTTCCACAAGACTCCCTGAGCTCTGCCTAGTATTTTGTTATATGAGTCTCTGTATCTGTTTCCATCAGCTGCTCAATTAAGGTGATGGTTATGCTAGGCTCCTGTCTGCAAGCATACCAGTTTCATTAATGATATCAGGGATTGGCTCTTTCCCATGAGATAGTCTCAAGTTGGGCCAGTCATTGGTTGGCCATCCCTCAATCTCTGTTTCATCTTTATCTCTGCACATCTTGTAGGCAGGGCAAATTTTGGGTCAAAGGTTTGTGGGTGAGTAAGTGTCCCCCTCCCTTCACTGTAAGTCCCACAGTGGGTGGTCTCTTCAAACTCCATATTCCCTGCTGCTGGGAGATCACCTATATTCTCCCAGGAGCCCCAAATCACACATATCCAGGTTCTCCCAGAGATGTCCCCCAACTAATTTCCCTTCTCTTTCCCAAGCCTCCCACCCTTACCTCTGCTCTCTCCAAACAGGATCCCTACCCCTTTCCTAGCTGGTTCCCTCTCTCCATCCACTTTTGGTGTCTAGTTTATTCCCCTTCTGAGTGAGATTCAAGTATCCTCCCTGGGGCCCTCCTAGTTAGTTTTTGTGGGGTCTGGGGATTGTAGCATGGTTATCCTATACTTTGTGGCTAACATCCACTTATAAGTAAGTGCATACCATGCTTGTCTTTCTGATTCTGGGTTACCTCATTCAGGGTGATATTTTCTAGTGCCATCCATTTCCCTGCAAATGTCATGAAATCCTTGTTTTTAATAGCTGAAGAGTATTCTGTTGTGTAAATGCACCACATTTTCTCTATCCATTCTTCTGTTGAGAGACATTTGGGTTGTTTCCAGTTTCTGGCTATTAAGAATATTCTATGAACATGATTGAACAATTTTCCTTGTAGTATGGTGGATCATCTTTTGGGTATATGCTCAGGAGTAGTATAGCTGGGTCTTGATGTAGAATTATTCCCAATTTTCTGAGAAAGCACCAGATTGATTTCCAATGTGGTTGCACAGGTTTGCACTCCTTCCAGCAATGGAGAAGTGTTCCACTTGCTCCACATCTGCATTAGCATCTGCTGTCACTGAGTTTTGAGTTTTTGATCTTAGTCATTCTGATTAGTGTAAGATGGAATGTCAGAATTGTTTTGATTTGCATTTTCCTGATGACTAAAGATGTTGAACATTTCTTTAAGTGCTTCTTGGCCATTAGAGATTTCTTTGTTGAGAATTCTGTTTAGCTCTGTAATCCATTATTTAATTGAGGTATTTGGTTAGTTGGTGTTTAATTTCTTGAGTTCTTTATATATTTTGGATATTAGCCCTCTGTCAGATGTAAGGTTGACAAAGATCTTTCCCAACCTGTAGATCGCTGTTGTGTCCTATTGACAGTGTCCTTTGCCTTACAGAAACTTTTTGGTGTCATGAGGTTCCATTTATTAATTGTTGGTATTAGTGCCTGAGCGATTGATGTTCTGTTCAGGAAGTTTGCTCCTGTACCAATGGATTCAAGGCTATCCCCCACTTCATCTTCTATTAAGTTTAAGGTACTGGTTTTTTTGTGAGGTCTTTGATCCACTTGGACTTGAGTTTTGTGCAGGGTGATAAATATGGATCTACTTGCTATGTTCTACATGCAGACATCCAGCTACACCAGCACCATTTGTTCAAGATGCTTTCCTTTTTCCATTGTATGGTTTGGTGTCTTTGTCCAAATAAATAAATAAATAAACAAACAAATAAATAAATAAAATCAGGTGTCTGTAAATGTGTGGGTTTATTTCTGGGTATTCTATTTTATTCCATTGAGCAACCTGTCTGGTTTTATGCTAACACTATGGATGGCATTTTTAATAACCATTGCTCTGTAGTACAGCTTTAGATAAGGGGCAGTGATTTCTCCAGAAGTTTTGTTATTGTTAAAGGCTCTTTTGCCTATCTCAGTTTTCTTGTTTTTTTTTTTTCACATGAAATTGAGAATTGCTCTTTCACGGTGTATAAAGAATTGTGTTGGCATTTTGATAGGAATTGCATTGAATCTGTAGATTGCTTTTGGTAAAATGACCATTTTTACTATTCTAATCCTATCAAGCCATGAGTATGGGAGATCTTTCCATCTTCTGATAGCTTCTTCAATTTCTTTCTTCAGAGACTTGAGGTTCTTGTCATACAGATCTTTCACTTGCTTGGTTAGTTATAGCAAAGTATTTTATATTATTTGTGGCTATTGTGAAGGGCGGTGTTTCTCTTATTTCTTTCTCTGTCAGTTTACTGTTTGTATATATGAGGGCTACTGGAATGTGTTTTGTTTGTTTAGTTAATTTTGTATCTAGTCACTTTGCTGAAGATGTTTATCAGTTGTAGCAGTCCCTGTCAGAGTTTCTGGGGTGATTTATGTATGCCATCATATCATCTGCAAATATCAATACTTTTACTTCTTCCTTTCCACTTTGTATCCCCTTTAGTTGTCTAAAAGCTTTAGTTAAAAACTTCTGATTTTTAACTAAATAATAGTACTATTTTGAATAGATGTAGAGTAGGAAGACTTGTCCCTGATTTTTGTGGAATTGCTTTAGGTTTATCTCCATTTAATTTTATGTTGGCTATTGTCTTGCTGTTATAGTGCCTTTATTATGATTAGGTATGTGCCTTGTATCCCAGATCTCTCCAAGACTTTTTATCATGAATAGGCATTAGATTTTGTCAAAAGAATTTCCAGTGTCTAATGAGATGATCATGTGCTTTTGTTTCTTTTAGTTTGTTTATATGGTGGATTACATTGATATATTGTCATATGTTGAAACATCCTTGCATCCCTGGAACAAAGACTACTTGATCATAGTGGATGATGTTTTTGATGTGTTTTTGGATTCAGTTTGCGAGTATTTTATTGAGTATTTTTACATCAATGTTCATGAGGGAAAATGGTCAGAAATTCTCTTTCTTTGTTGAGTCTTTGTGTGATTTAGGTATCTGGGTGACTATGGCCTCATAGAATGAGTTGGGCAATGCTCCTTCTGTTTCTATTTTGTGGCATAGTTTGAGGAGCATTGGTATTAGCTCTTCTTTGAAAGTCTGGTGGAATTTTGCACTAAAATTATCTGGCTCTGGACATTTTTTGGTTAGGAGACTTTTGATGACTACTTCTATTTTCATAAGAGATAAGGACTATTCAGATTATTTACCTGCTCTTGATCTAACTTTGGTAAGCAAAATTTGTCAAGCTAATCATCCATTTCATTTAAATTTTCCAATTTCATGAAATACAGACTTTTGAAGTAAGACCTAATAGTTCTTTGAATTTCCTCAGTGTCTGTTGTTATATCTCCCTTTTCATTTCTGATTTTGTTAATTTGGATATGGTCTCTCTGCCTTGTAGTTAGTTTGGCTAAAGGTTTTTCTATCTTGCCAATTTTCTCAAAGAATCAGTTCTTGATTTTGTTAATTCTTTGTATTGTTCTCTTTGTTTTTAACTGATTTGATTTCAGCCCTGATTTTGATTATTTCTTGCCTTCTTCTCCTCTTTGGTATGCTTGCTTCTTTTTGTTCTAGAACTTTCAGTTGTGCTTTTAAATTACTAGTATGAAATCTCACCAATTGCTTTATGAAGTTACTTAGTGCTATGAACTTTCTTCTTAGCACTGCTTTCATATGTTCCATAAGTTTGAGCATGTTGCACCTTCATTTTCATTGAATTCTTGAAAGTCTTTAATTTTTTTTTCTTTATTTCCACCCTGACCCAGAGATCATTGAGTAGAGAGTTGTTCAATTTCCATGAGTGTGTATTAATGTGTAGGTTTTGATGTGTGGTTTAGGCTTTAGTAATGTTTCTTTTATGAATGTGGTTGCCCTTGACTTTGGGACATAGATGTTTCGAACTGAGATGTTATTTGGGCTGGTTTTTCCTTTTGAAGAGTTCAAGTGTCCTTTCCCATCTCTTTTGATTAATTTTGGTTGAAACTCTATTTTATTAGATACTAGAATGGTTACTCTGGCTTGCTTCTTGGATTTTGTTTTTTGCTTGGAAAATCTTTTTCCAGCCCATTACTCTGAGGTAACATTTATCTTTGTTCTTGAGGTATGTTTCTTGTATGCAGCAGAATGATGGATCCTGCTTTCCTATCCATTCTGTTGACTTGTACCTTTTTTGTTGGGGAATTGAGTCCATTGATGTTGAGATATATTAATGAATTAATGAATAATTATGTTGATTCCTGTTATTTTAAAGTTTGTGGTGGCAGAGTATGTGCGTGTGTGTGTTCCTTTCTGTTGGTTTTGATAGTGCAGGATTATTATCCTGTGTTTTCTTCGGTGTAGTTAACCTCCTCAGGTTGGAGTTATTCTTCTAAAATCTTTTGTAGGACTGGATTTGTGGATAGATGTTGTTTAAATTTAGCTTTGTATTAATTCTATCAACTGATGTTCTCAACCAATAGCCCTGCATCTAAAGCATATATTTATGAAGCAAAATGATATTTTCGTAAATACTACAACATAAAATGTTCTATTTATTATGCAGGAGGTGTTTGGCTACCATACCCAGAAGCTACGGAGAGCCCTGTGCCTTGTCACAGCCATCCTGACTCTTGGTGCAGTTCAGCTGATGTTCTACTGGAGGCCTGAGTGGTGGGTATGGACCAGTTGCATCCCATGCCCCTTGCAAGAAGCAGACACAGTTTTGCTGAGGACAACCGTGCGTACCTTTCTTTTGTCCATTTTAAATGCCATGATCATTACAGAAAGACAGATACTGTATATTCTCACTTACACAAGGGAGATATGAAGTTGACATTATGGAATAGTGATTACTAATTCTCAGAGCCTGAGAAGGGTAAGGAGAGATTGAAGGAAAATGAATAGTAGGTACAAGGCCACAGTTGAATAGGGGAATACTTGTTAATAGTCTATTGCATAATAGGATAGCATGGCTGACAGAAAATTTTAAAAATAGCTAGTGGACAGGGTTTTGAGTGTTTCCAACACAAAGAAATGTTAAGTTTCTGAATCATTCAGAACAAACTCTATTGCTCTGTCAGTGTTTCTGGGGAGACATGAACAATTGTCTATTCACTGACAACAGACCAAAGAAATTATTTCACCCAATTCTATAATATGTAAGCTATATACACATATATTATAATACATGCATTATCTATCTATCTATCTATCTATCTATCTATCTATCTATTTATCTATCTCACAGGATTGTGGGTGAATCACAGGCGGTTGTAACACTGAAGAGCACACTCCATTCCTAGAACTCCTTGTTTTATCTGCAAGTGACTAAACAGGTTATAGAGTCTTTTCTTTCAGGAAATTGCTATTCCCTTTAAACCCAGTGAGAGACCCTTGAGATTTCTGTAATGTTAGGAACTTGTTCAGACTTGTGAGTTTTGTTTATTTTCCAAGTCTTCAGGGAGGGAATGTTTCAGTTCAGAAGAAATAACTACTCAAGATCCATAAATATATGCAAGTACTATATCTCAAATAAAAATTGAAATATAACTTTTAAAGAAAAAAGAGTCTTTAATTCTGCATCTGTGACCCAGCAACGATTGACTAGTATTCTAGCAGGAAGATCTCGTTCATTCAAGCAGTCTACCTAGACCAGGACAAGAGGAGGAAAAACTGTCTCCTCAAGCCACACATTATCTCTTGTCTAGCCCAGGAATTCTGACGCTCATCAGCCTGCAGAAATGTCTGGTATTTCAGGCTGATGGACGTTGCTCTCCGCCATTATATGGACAGTGGTTGTCATTGTTACAACTCTGAGATCACACAACGTGGGAACACTCAATTTTCAAAAATTTGTGTCTTGGAGTATTCCAGACAATTTAAGCTCATGGATATTGTTTAAAAATGGCCAGAGCCTGGCATGATGGTGTACACAAATGATCCCAATCCTTAGGAAGCTGAGGCTGGCTAACAAGGAGAGTGAGGCCAGTCTAGAATATACAAAGAATCCCTGTCTCAAAAAATTAGATAAAATAATAAAACGGAAATAGAGTCATCTAAGAAAGTTTCTAGACATAATGCTTTCCTATAAAATATATCCAGTATTTCTGAAATGTTTGAACATATCAGAAGCCTCTGGAAGGCTCACTGAAACACAAACTGCTGACTCCATTTCCCGAGTTTCTGACTCTGTGGAGTCTAAGAATGGGACTGAGAATTTGAATTCTGAGCGAGGTCTGAGATTGTCCTCTTGTTTGTTGACTTTTCAAGGATGAATTTCGAAGATATATGAGGAAAAAGGTCTTTTGCCTCCACTTATCCACACTGAAGTTTCCTATAAGCAAGGACCCAGAGGAACCTCTGGTAGCTGACCACAACTCAGTCATAAACCAAGCTGTAATGAAGCCAGAACTGAAAGTAAGAGGTCTTACGTGTAGGACATTTCAGTACGTTTGTGAAGACAAAGTAGAGCATGTGTTTATTGGTTCAAGTTTTGAATGTAACACTTTGGGGCTGGAAAGATCCTGAAGTGGAACACCCACATGGGAACCTACACTAAAGAACTCCCCTTTGTTAGGCTTTCCTCTGTGAATGATGTCTGTTCCTTCCTATTTGTGGTTGCAGCTACGATGCATCCAAGTGCAGAAAATCAGGTACGTGTGGGATTTCTTGAAGAAGCGATTTCAGAAAGTTGGGTAAGTATAGCTCTTTCTCACCACTGTCTCAGAACACAGTCAAAGGACCCTAGCTTATTGGGCGTTGTAAACTGAAGCATTGTTCCTATCCCAACTACATCCTAGGTTGCTGGAAGACAGCAACTCCTGCTTTGACATCCATCATACATTTGGATTGGGTCTGACCAGTGAAGAGCAAGAGGTCAGGTAGGACTAATAATGCTTACTAAACCTAACCCTGCTGGCCTAAAGTATCAAATGGACCCTCACTGGTGTGCTGCTGGCAAAATGCTTCACCAGCTTGATGCCATTTGCTGGCATCAGAAAGACATTCTAACCTCTCTTCTTAGGTAAACTTATTAAAAAGACATCAAAAGAGCAAAGCAATAGAATAAAATGGGACCCTTTGTCTAGGCTTGCAGAATAGGCATTATGTTAACCTGGAGTCATTTCATAAACATCAGCCTCTTAATCCTCCCAAACTGACTGAGAACCAAAAAAAAAAAAAAACCCACCAATAATCAGATCATGCTTTACTGTGAACAAGTAGCTATTGAGATGAACATTTTACTGTTTACTTGTATATGTCATTCAACGTTGCATGTGCAGGACACAGAATATCCCTAGACTAATGACAGGAGCTCAACAGAGATTTGCAGAAGAAACAAATGACAGTATTTGTTAATTTATTATCTCTGTGTTTCTGATATGTCAGGTATCTTGCAAGGGATTAGTGATCTAAAGAGAAAGACATAGCCATTCATTTGGGGAGGGGGAGGAGGGAGGAACAGATGCAGAGAGGGAGGGAGAGGAGTAAAATCCACAGACTGTCTGTAGGCTGCCAGACGTTAGAAGATGCTCATTCAGTCTACTAACCAGAGGGGAAATACCCCTGCTTCCTCCATCTCTTGTTTGAAATGGCTCATCCTGGTGAGCTCCAAAGGAAACAGGTAAGCCCTTCCAATAATCTTCAGTCTGTTTAGTTTCTCAGACACTTTTAGGGACATTGTTTTCCTGACATCAACCAGAAATGTCAATTGTCAAACCAATAGGAATTGTGATGAACTTCTGTTCTGGGGTTCCGCCCTTACAGCTCAGAGATTTCTATAGGAACAAGACAGTCCACATGAGACAAAGAATTCTGGAATTCCAGCAAGTTCCTCGCACTATTTTCTTCATTACGCTTTAAATGTTCATTTATTTTGTGTGCATGTATATATGGGGGTATAAGTGCACAAAGCATGTGTAGAGTTCAGAAGACAACTTGCAGGAGGTCGTTCTGTCTTTCCACCACGTGATCGGGCTTCGGTTAGCAGGCTTGGCAGCAGGGGCCTTCATTCGCTGCAGCAGCTTGCTGGTCTGCCTGGCACCATAATCCTTATGCAGAGTCTAAGAAGTCTGAAGTGTTGGTTTCAGTTCTTCCTCTGCAGAAATATTGTGGGAAACGAGGTGGGCATCTATACCAGAACAATACTGCAAAAAAAAACCTTCTTAGAAATATTATCATTATATAAGATTTCGGCTGAATGTTTGATACATTGAGATACAGAAACTTTTCAAAGTCATTAAAATGAAACTCATTTCATAATACTTAACGCAAGATGTTTGGAGGATTGGTCTAGAATGCTTAAGAGCTCTCAGTGATAGATGTAGAGATATTCTGCACAAGAAACCATTTCCACAGCAAAGATTTCCCATTGGTGTAGCTAGGACACATTTGTCCTTATTTATCAAGTGTCAAGCTTTAATAAACATCATCCATAATTAAATTTAAATCCGGTCTACACAATAAAGCACTTGACAATCTAATAAGCAAGACAGAGTACAGTATCCCAAATATGAAGAATAGAGAAATAATCTCATAAGCAGAGGCATATTTTATGTTGTAGGCATTCCAGAGTGAAGGACAGAAAGAGCCAGTGGATGTCACGCATTTCCCCTTCATTTCGGAGAGTGAGTTGGGGGCCTTTCCAGGGAAATTAGAAGTGACTGACTGATTGGAGGGCATGTGAATTCAATAACTGATGCTGAGCTTTCCTTCATTTGAAAACCAAGAGCTCACTGCAAGAGAAGAAGGAAGGAAGACTTGCCACAGTCTGACAAGATGACATGATTTAGGACCTAAATGTCTGCTTCTCCGTGGGATTCCTGGCAGCTGGGCAAATAGAAGATCTAGGATGTCCATAGGTCTCACTTGTCGACAGCAAAAGCTAATCAGGCTACCAGGAGAGAGGATTTCACCCAGGAGAGAAGTCACCAGATGGCATCCTAAAATGAATAATTGTCTCAGGAGCTGGCTTGCTCTGATCTTAACCTCTCTGGGCTAAGCTCAGCCTTTCATCGTCACAGCCATTCTGGACAGGTTCACTGACAGCTCCCGTCATAAGAATGGGGTCCTGTGAAAAAGCATACCCACCTGATGTCCACTAGCCTTTCTAGTGAACAGGGTTAGGACACCCCTTTACCTTTTTCATTCATCCTGTCCTGCTCCTGATCCTTTGTTTAGGCTCTGAACTCAGAAAAGTAACTGCTTGGCAGCACACCTGAGATAATTCCAGACATTCACCTCACTGGTTTACTGCAGAAGAGACCAAAACTTTGACAGCCAGTGTTTGCCAGTCTCTGCGGTGGGAATATTCATTCCACAGCCAGTTTGTGTCTTCAATACGGCAACACCAAAGGAGAAGCTGGAAAGAGCCACTCACTGTTGGTTCTGTGGCTCTTCAGGGCCAAACTCAATTCTCGACTTTGCCCTCCCTTCTGAGGAGGAGAAGCAGGCCTGCTTGTTAGGTACCTAGAAAGGAAATGTAAGTGATGGGCAGCCAAAAAGGCATCAAAAGCTCTGTTTATAGAAAGCTGTATTACGAATAGATCAGCCATAAACAGGAAAGCAAGATGAAAGGCAGAGGAAGGAAGGCGGGAAAAAGAAGTTGGTAGTACCACGGAACTTTGCTGTGGTACAGCTCTGGTCTTGATCGGAGCAAAACCTGAGAGAGAAGTAATGGTTACCCTTACGCCTTTTGAAAGTCACACACTGAGAAAATGGTCCAAATACACACGTGCACGCACGCATGCTCGCACTCAGCCTCCCACATCATCTTCCTAGAAAGGAGCAAGTGATGAAGAGAAAGAAAGAAAAGCTTTATCCTCTTCCTCGAAGCTGAAAATATGCTCTCAACTCCTAACACTCAACTAGGAGCTAGCTGTCTAAAGATACTGCCTGTATTTCATTTAAATGTAATTTGATAAAAACCAAACAATTTGAGATCAATGTTCTCTTTTTAATGAATTGGAATTTTCAGGCCCGTGGCTTGGTGGGTCTGATGGAAGTAGAAAGTCATCTAATTCCAGTGCGTGCCTCAGAGCCAAGGCCCATGGAGACAGCAGCGAGTGTAAGCCGTGTGCCTTCCAGGCGAAATGAAGGAGAGGATACCAAGATCTGTCTTGCCTTCCTCACAGTTCCTCATGCCCTTTTTGCTTCCTCCCCTCCTGATCGTTCACTTATGGAATGCATGGCCATTCTTCATCAGAAGAGACTCCTGGGAGCACCTCGTCAGCTCATACTGGAAACTGAAATCCTGTGAGAGCTGTCCCAGCTAGCTCGAAGACTGTGGTTTAGAAAATGAAGCACGTTCCACTAGGATAGGAAAGAAATGGACAGAGCACAGATAAGGACCAGGATGAAAAGCTAAATGACTGATGTCACATGCCAATTTTGAGATATGAAGTTTCAGTACATCACTGTTGTAATTACATACGTGGAGATTTCTTCTGGGAAATAACCTCTCAAAGCACTCCCAAAGTGTTTTGTAATGAGGGATTTCTAAGACCAACTCATCTATTGGACTGAGTAATTGCACCCAAATCCCAGGCACTGGGTGTTATAGCCTGTGCATCCTAGACCTCCTTCCCTTGGTAAAGCAGGAATTTCAAGGGAGTGAGTAACTGGCCCACAGCATCACTCAGAAGATTTCTTAATTTGCTTTCCTATAGAAGTGACTCACTCTGGAATATCTTGCTTGGCCCTCTGAGTTTCTGGAAAACTTTAGGAATCTCTCCTGCCGGAGATGCTCTCGCAGGCTATCAGAATGGAAAGAGTAAGCAAAAGCAGAGTGCTGGAGTGAGAAGGTTGAGTAGTGCAGTAGTGATTGTAGCATCCTCCTGCTTCCTCATTAAGGATCCTGACTCTAGTCTACAAGGGCTCCAGAGCCCCACACGAAGCTCTCTAGCAATTCTTGAGGATATATTGGTGTATTCCTTTGAGTCAGTAAAGGAAACACTAAGCAAACTGAAAAGAGGAGTGAATTATGCCTCAAAGGAAAATACTACTAGCCATTTATGTTTGGTATTTCAGAATTCACACACTCCATATGTCCTGAATATCTCAGAATTGGAGGAAATCTCTTGTGAACCTAGAAGCACCAGCTACAACCAGTATGAAATTCCCTTCTTGAGGTCTCAGCTGTAGACTTGGTCAGGATCCATCCTCTGAGAAGAGGCTGTCTGCCTTCTTAGCAGTTTCTCTCCTAATAGATATTGACAGATGTTAGGTAAACCTACTTAACTGTGTTTGGCCTACACTGTTTGGCGAGGCCACACAGAATGATCTCAACCTTACTCCTCTGCCACCTCATCAGGTCTTTCATGGTGGAATATAATCTTTGACCTTTTCTTGTGTGTCTTGGCTTCAAGCCTAATACCTCTGGTTGCTTCGCCACTGCCAACATCCATGAGAATTCTCTGGGGCTGGCTCTAAGACTGAAATGGGTACACAACCTCTAAACAAAGCAGAATTTCTCTTGGCGAAGGTTAGTAGGAGTGACAAGACAGAGAAGAGTAGGCTGGCTGTGACTTCCTCCTGGCCCAGATGAACCCAAGACCTCATTCACAGACAATGCCTGACCCACACTGTTCCTGCCTCACTTCTCCAGGGCTTGAGTTCTTCCCTCAATGGCAATTTCAGGTACCATCTCAGCAGACAAGGAGAGACAAAGAGCATCAGGCCATCAGCTTACATTCTCAATTGGATTTCTGTCATCTCAGTGTGTCCTTAGTTGTGCATTAGGGGTTTGGACTTCAGCAGAGGATAAAGCAGAGGACTCTAGATGTGGTTCTCCATGACTTTCATTAACCCCAGCATTTTGGGGAACATATTCAGTGTCTAGCCCCAGGTCCTAGAAAAGCAGTTCTGAAACTGCCCTCTCTTCTCCTGCTTTCAAAAACAGTAAATGGGACTTCAGGAGAGAAAACATGTAAATTTATGTTTTAATTCAGTGAGGTAAATGGTGTTGCCAAAACAGAAGATGTTGCTGAAGGAGAGAAATATATTTAATTGTGTTGGACACAGTCATACCTAAAAGACAGCTGCCGCTTACCTGGGACTTGTCATGTCCTCAGCACACTCTTGACAACTGCTTTGCATATTTATCTCACAGAGACACTGATCACAATTTTATTAGGTATATTTTATCAAATTCATTTTTCAGATAAGGGAACTCAGGTTTGTTCCTATCTCCAATTTGGATATACATTAATTTGAACAAATAATTCTTTATTACGAAGAATGTGTTAGGCTCTATCTGAGCTCTTGGGGATCTAGTAATATCCCTTAAAAGGTTATGTTATTATAATGGCAGACACATCCAACTAAAACATGGGAAAAAATGTGGTATGGGCTTAGTTAATGAAGTGTTTGCCTTGTAGGCATGAAGACATGGGTGTGATCTCTAGAATCCATGTGAAAAGAACAAAAAAAGGTGGTACTTATTTGTAATCTCTGTACTTGAACATGCTAGAGACATGAACTTAGGTTTACTAGCCAGTCAGCTTAGCCTGTATGTCATGTTCCATGGGAGACCTTGTCTAAAAATAAAGGTGACCAGCCTCTGAGGAAAGGTTTCCACATACACGTGTGAATGTGCACATCCACCTGCCCACATGTGTACTCACACATAAATACAAAGAAGATACATGTTCAGGTAGTCATATATGCTACATAGAAAAATAAGATAGGTTAAAGAAATTAAGGAAAGTTAGAGTAGCCCTCGCACCCCATCATAAGAAGCAAACCTAGGGCATTGTGCATAATAGATGAATATTCTATCGTAAGCTACACAAATGTTCTACCATGGAGCCATACATACCCTTTGGCCCAGGAGAGAGGCTATTTGAATAGGATTGTTAGGGAGGGTCTCCAGAAGAAAGTCCTTTTTAGAGGCCTAAATGGAGCAAGACACACAAATTCATGCAAAGATTCAAGGAATGTGGCCTAGGAAGAAGGAGGAGCAAGGGCAGAAGCTTGGTTGGGTGTAGAACTTGTTCTGTTCAGTCTCACAGTTCAGAGCTGCACAGCTTGGTTGTCAGGTTTGCCTTTTAAAGGCTGAGCAGCATTTACAAAGGGAAGAGTATAGGGAGAGCATAGCCTGCAGAGGGGAGAAGGAACACAGGCTGTGTCCTGTGAGGTTCTGACAGTTGGTCAATGACTGATTATTGTCAGAGAGTTAACATGGCTTGAGTTTAAGTCTTTGGAGGTTCGGGAATGAGATTTAGGGTTCACACATTCACACAGCTCTTCCTCTCTGCCTCTTCATCCCTGAGCCTCAGCGTTTTCCCACATTAGAGAGTTAGAAGAGCTTAATGTATGTCATCTCTGTCCCTAACAAGCAATAGTTCAAGTTGGTACAGCATGCTTTAAAAGTCAGATGAACTTGAGCTCATCTGTGTTATACGCAAGATCAAAGAGCACTCATGTAGGCTCCCCCAGCTGACAATCCCAGAGGTGGAGTTGGGAAGTGATGTCATAGAGGCCATGGTTGGGAATATCTTTCCTTTCGGTCTCTAAGAACTTAAGACAGCTACTTACTTTGTTCAAAGTTCAGTTTCCTTTATAAGTAGTGATAATGTGAAGTGTTATTTAAATATGATCCTTAAAAGTCCCATGCTTGCAATGAATATTAGCTGTTTATTAATTAATATTAATATTGACTAAAGACCCACAGCAAACAACTTTTTTCTATTGGCAAGATTATCCCTTTAGAACTCTGTAGAATATTATAAGGATCAAATATATGTTTTGCAAGAACTTAAAAATTGTAAGACACAATCCAAACACCAGGGGCTGTTTACAGTGGACACATGTCCTGACAGCTACACGTGAGCAGCACCATAGAGAAAGTTCCTGGGTACTTATTCTTTCTATGGTGCATTGAATGGGTTCACTCTACACGGACTTCTTATGAGAGATTCCAGGCTAAGACAGACACCATTATTGATGTCTAGGATAAACTGAATGCTTGAGAAGTCTAGAAGTATTTTCAGACTTATGTCTTTTCAACTGCTCTTAGGATGTAATCAAGTTATTTTTCTCAAAGCCCTTTCTAATTTCATTTTGACTACCTCAGTTGTATTAAAGATAGTTTAAAGCAGGAAAAAAACAACCTTCTTAATCACACATCGACTTTCATCTTAAAACTACACATGGTTTAGTATGACGTCAGCCTATAGTGGTTACCAAGGCACAAGATACCTAAAGGACAGAGAGGTGGGTAGCTTGTGGTCAGCTTGCCTGTGCTCACTTGTCACTGGGCTTGTGGGCTGACACTAACAGATGGTCAATCTCCCACAGAAGGTTAGTGTGTGGGCCCAATGCTATCGAGGTGGAGATCCAGCCCATATGGAAGCTACTTGTTAAACAGGTAACTAAATAATTTTTTTCTTTTTGAAAAAGAGAATCTGTTTCTTAATGTCTTGGCCTCAGTGGGATTGTAAATGCTATCTGTGTTTCATGGGACTGCCTCTTGACACTCTAGCTTTTTCTGTTTATTAATCCTTCCTTTCAGTTTTTTAATATTATCAAACACACACACACACACACACACACACACACACACAAACTCAGGATCTGACCTATCCTTTTCAATTGCCTCTTTATTACATCTATGCATCTATATATGGTATCTATGTATGTATCTATATATGTATCTATGTATGTATCTATGTATGTATCTATGTATGTATCTATGTATGTATCTATGTATCTATGTATCTATGTATCTATCTATCTATCTATCTATCTATCTATCTATCTATCTATCATCTATCTGGCATCTATGTGTTTGAGAATACAGTTGTGTGTATGTGCGTGTGTATATATGTACATGTGCTTGTATGTTGCTTATGCATGTGCAAGTATGTATGTGTGCTTCTGTGTGTGTGGTGTGTATGTATGTGTAGGTCAGAGGACAACTGACAGGAGCCAGTTCTCCCTTTCCACCAAGTTGGTCTTAGGGATCAAGCCTAGGTCCTTAGGGTTGGCAGCAAGTGCCTTCACCTTCTCAACCATCTTACCAGCTCAGTCACCCCTTATTTTATGTTTAAATACACTTCTCAGTGAGAGTCAGATTTCTGTTTTGTAATATCCTGTTTCTTTGGTAATCTTAAGTTTTTTCTCATGGTGGTAGCATGGTATCTTAATCTGTTCAGGATACTACAAAACAATCCCATAGACTGGGTAGAAATCTAAGGTAGAGGAACTGTATACTCAGACCAGACTGAGGGGTCTTGCTGGCCTGTGGACCACCAGCTTCTTCATGTCTCTTTTCATGGCAGAGGTCTAATCCCTGCTTATCAGGACCTATGCAACCCTAGTTATCTCTCAAAGCCTCACTTCCAAACACCCCCACACTGGGGGTCAGAGCGTCAACAAGTGAATCCTTTTGGAGAGGCCAAAAGTCTTCAATTTTACCACAGAGCCACGTCATTACATCTATAATCCCTACGATTTTAAATTGTATTGTTTGGGTCCTTTACAAGTTATTTTTACTGTTTCTATTTTTTTGAGTGTGGCTTCTTGTTAGTTTTTTAAAAAACATATTATTATTATTATTTTATAATTTTATTAGTTCTTTTGTGTCAGTCAACTAAGTGAGGAAATTTCTCCCTTCTACTCTCTGTGTTTGCAGTCCCTCTTTGTGGCTCTGTGCCTGCCTCTCCCTGGTCCTCAGTGTATTACTGGGTCAGAGACAAGCCTATATAGGAGGCAACAGTGTTCTCCTGTGATCTGTGTGGGGCTTGGGAGAGGTCACAGTTGTACCAAAGACTCTGTTTTCTCCCACTCTGCCTTCAGCTGCCTGTGTTTCCAGCCTTTACAGCATGTTACCTCTGCTTCTTACTGTAGCCCTCGTTTCAGTTTCCTGCCTGAGATTTTCTGTCCTACTCCCCTCAGCATTGAGCTCCTACCTGGTGCTATTTATCGCTGATCCAGGGTGCTGGTCTTGGGGTATGCACAATGCTCCATAATTCCAACCTCTTGTTAAAATATTATGATATCTATCTGTGTTTATGCATGATGTATGAGATGCAAATACGCCTGTGGCATGCATGGATTTGTGTGTCAAGGCTGATGTGTGTGGAGGTCAGAGGTCTTCTACTCCGTCTGTCCTTCCACCTTTATGTGCGTTTCAGGGATTGAATCAGGTTTCCCAGGCTTGCACTGACAAATGTCTTTACCCACTCAGCCATCCTGCCAGCCGAGCATATTTTTAGCCCCTTTCTAACCCATAAAAATGGTCTCTTTTTTTTGAGAATGGCTGCATCTGTCTAACATGAAATATTATCCACCATTGTTCTATTTCTGGGGCACACACCAGGCTATTATTATTTCAGCATTAGTTTTTAGAGTAATGCTATATTCCTAGCAGAAAGGAGCTGGTGCTGAGCTTTCCCTCATACTTATTCTCCCACCCCGCCCCCACATGTGCTTCCCCCAGCTAGGAAGGCAGGCTGCTTCAAGAACCTCTTACCAAAATGCATTTGAAAACTGCTAAATACTTTCTAAAGTACCAGTGATCCTTTCTGAAAGGAGTCCAGTCTGCTTTAGCACACATGAATCAGAACCTTAGTAAAATTAAAAAACAGGGCGAGGGAGTAAATTACTTCACATTTAGTTGGAATGGATATTGAATAAGGGGGTTAAATTAATTATGCTGCCGCTGTTTCTTCTGAAGAAATATTTAAGCAATTTTCCACTGTATTTCTACAAACTCAGAATCATGTTATCATTAGTACATAATCTATAATTAGAGCATCTTATGCCAAGTGAACTCAAGAGCTATAATTTGTAAGTAAAGCAGTTGAGATGGGAATAATAAAAACACCAAGAAACAAAAGCTTTTTAGATTTATAAATAATAACCAAAGGCTTGAGGAACACTTCATATGTAGCCTTATTAACTTATTAAGTAGCTATCAGCTGATTGTTAGGAGCAAAGTAGAATTTTATTCAGTGTCTGAGAGAATTACAGGAAGTAGTGTTTGGAACGGTTTTCCTGGTTTAGCAAGTATTTCATCTAATTTATTAAGAGGATAAAAAGGGTGCTTCCTCAAGAACGGAAACCATGCTTCAGCCTAGTGTGCTCTTTTGTTATTGCTGTATCTCTGTGTTGTGGAAATTTTTGTCAGTTCCTGGGATTTGTTCTTTCTGTTAAGACTGCTTTTTAATTAATTAACTAATTGATTGATATTCAAATTTCCTTTTCCCCTCCCTCCTCTCCTTTCAGTCTTTTTCTCCTCCCCTCCTCCCATCCACTCCTCTTCCCTTTCTGTTCAGAAAAAGGGAAGTCTTCCATGGATTTCAACCAGCCTTGGCATATGGAGTTCCAGTAAGACTACAGTGTCTGCGCATGAGGCATCCCAGTAGGGAGAGAAGTCCCAAAGGCAGGCAACAGAGTCAAAGACAACCCCTGACGCCACTGTTAGAAGTTGCTGTTGTTAGATTTATTTATTTAGTTGGCACTGCGGTTGGACCAGGGTCTCACATGTGCTGAGTCGGTACTCTACTACTGAGCTTCATCCCAGCTCTCTGCTGTAATCATTCAAAGGAACCGGGAAGACCAGAGTGGGAAGTAGGGGGAGTAAAGAGCTGAAGGTCTTTGGAGACACCTCATCAGCTTTGGAGTTAGTGACACCATCCCCTAATGATGTTGGATAAATCCTTGCAAAATGCACTGCTTGCCCAGGGTCCTTCTGGGCTCAAGGGAAGGAACCACACTGATTCTGTTGCCTCTAAAAAGATCTTACTATGACTGGTGACAGAAAGAATATTATTCTAAAATAGCTTGGATAAAAGAAGACTCTTCATTTTCACGGCACAATTAGTCTAAGTCTGCAGCATGTGAGAACATGAAAGATACACAGATTTTTGAATGATTTTTGAATGAGATTGAATTTTGGTTTTCCTCCATTATTGTGTTCTGTGACCCCACTGCTGGGCAGACATGAGTGAACATCTGCTTACCTCAGATAGGGCACTGACAACAGAACAAACCACTCATACCACCAAAGTCTAATGTGATAAACCAATGAGTTGGGGGGGGTTACTTACAGGAATACGGGTGAGCAGTTACTTATAAGTATATAAATGGTTCAAAGGGAGCTGTATCCCCACCTCTCCTCCAGCTTGGGAGACGGCTCACAAACTCTAGAAACCTGGAGTGCACTGCAGGTGGTTAAAATTGTCTTTTCCTAGGAGCTCAGGACCTTCGAACCTTTTCTAGGCTGGTCTTTTTTCTTCTAAGCAGTTTGACTGATCTTACTTTCTTCCAGGTTGCTTGGTCAGAATATCTTACTTACTCTTAGCAGTCTTACCTGTTTATTGTTCCTAGGGAGGAAGAGGTCTGGTGAGTCCAGTCAGTTTCAGGAACTTCCTGAAGCTATCCTAGTTACTTACTTCCCGTCTTAATGACAACTCTTTGTCATTAAGGATGACTGTTTCACCTCCTCCTGAAACATCCTGTTATTTCATTTCCTTGTTAAACATCCTGTCCTAAAATACACAGTATTTCCTTTATATCCTGTCTCAAGAAATTTTCCCCTAAGATGGAGGGTTTTTATCTGGAAACTGCCGTACAGAGTATGAATAAATGTCATATTGCTAGATTCTGTACTGGTGAAGTATTTTTTGGGGGAGAGAGGGTGAATAAGAATAGAAAATTTTGAATATGGCTCTCAGCACTTAGAGTAACTTTATTTCTAACATATTATATTCTGTGCTCTTGGCATTGTCTTTGCTCAAGTTAACTGAGTTCTAAGTGAATTTATAAACAGCAGACATCATCACATGCTAAAAATGGAAAGACATTCTATAGTGTAATGATATAATTCTGATTGCTACCACATAAATGCTATTTTTGTACCTGCAGGTTTTAAATCCATTCTATGTGTTCCAAGCCTTCACCCTCACTCTATGGCTGTCCCAGGGTTACATAGAATACTCTGTGGCTATCATCATTTTGACTGTTATCTCCATTGTCTTGAGTGTATATGATTTGAGACAGGTAAGGATTGAAATCATGGCTGGACTACATTTATATTTTGCTTCTGACTGAACAAGCAAAGCCTAGAGAATTTCTACCTGGAGCATGGAGTAGCTTTGTCACACGCAATTCATAAGGCAACAACAGTTACATCTTATATGGGGACACTTGCAGGATAGGGTATTGGGAATACCAAACAGATTTAAACATCTTTTCAAAGATCCATCATCAACTGGAGGCTTCACTAGACTGTGAGGTTGTTTGTGAGTCAGGTGTGAGGAATGTTACATGGATTGATAATAGCTTTACTCTTAAGACTAGGGAGGGGCAGCAGCTCAAATCACATATTAACCAAGACACAAGACTCTACTTTTCTCTCTCTCTCTTCCTTCCTTCCTTCCTTCCTTCCTTCCTTCCTTCCTTCCTTTCTTTCTTTCTCTCTTTCTCTCTCTCTCTTTCTTTCTTCCTTTCTTTCAGCATAGCAACCAAAAGTCAGGCTGCTAGATCCAAGGATAGGTATAATTTGAATGTTAATAGATGCTGCTCTGTAATTTTCCCCAAATAAAACAATTCTTTTGATCGGAAACACACAAGGCCATTGATTTCTCCAACTCTACACCAGCACTGTGTGATAGATATTGATATGTAGAAGTCTTCATCCAGTAAGTGTTTAGTGTTCGAAACTGATGTTTTAAAGTACAGTTACAGATCGCTAGTGAAAGGAGCGTCGTTTTACTTCCCGGAGCATTTCATTTTTCCTCTACATTCAAGGACTTTTCATACCCACCATCAGTGTGGGGAAGTTTCATTTTTAGTCTATCTTTCCCCCTTGACTTTGTTTTTTTTCATATACTAAAGATTATATAGAGGCAAATGTATTTCTCTTTTCCTTTGTGGTTTCTGGTTTCCTATTCTGTGTAATTGTTGTGTGGTAAAACTTATCCTGAGGAGATACACAGGTACATCTACGCAACCTCAGATAGGGATCCCACAACAATCCAAACTATGGGTACCACCAAAGTCCAACCTGGTGAACCAGTGCATTTTGGAATCACTTACAGGAATATAGGTGAAGAATCACTTACAGGAACAGATGTTACTTAAAGACAATAGCATCACCAAGTGTCATCCAAGTATGGGTGATAGCTCACAGAGCTGGGAAGTTGGAGTACACTGTACAGCCTGCAGGCAGCTCAAGAGGATGCTCAGTTGGTTTTTTAGACAGATCAGCTGGTTTCTGCTTCTTCCAGCAGCTGATCTGGACTCAGAGTCTCTGTTGTAGCTCAACTTCCCTCTACCTGAGAGAAAACTCTTAGATTTTGTTGCTTATTGTGACAGTGAGGGGCCTAGTGAATCTGGGGTCAGTTTCAGGGACTTCCTGAAGCTATTTTGAGTTATTACTTTCCTTCTAAGGACCTTCATTGCAAGATAGAATTTTTAAATCTTGTATGGCACTATTGCATAGCAACATTTAAACTTAGATAATTTTTAATTTTTCTGTATCTTAAACCTCTTATCCAAATTAAACATTTGCAACTGGACAGATGGTTTGAGAGTGCTGGCTGATCTTGTAGAGTTCCCAGGTTCAATTGCCAGCACCTACATGATGGTTTTCACCCATTTATGGCTCCAGTTCAGGAAATCTGGTGCCATCTTCTGACCTCCAGGAGCACCGGACACCCAAGTGGTGCACGTATATACGTATGGGAAAAACAGCTGTACATGTACAAATTAAATAAATCTTAAAAATGTAATTAAAATTCATGTCTACTTCTTTACAGTATCCCTAAATTACTTTGCCCAACATAGTGGGTAACATGAGAAGGCGAGCTTAATCAGCAGTTCGACAAAGGAGCCAAGAAGAATAGGAATTAGAAAACAGACACTAATCTCCTTAACAGCTGGTATTTGTTTACGAAGCCCAACTGACCTAACTAGTAAGGCATCTTGCAAAGCCACACCAAGTGAGCATACTTCCTTCAATAACTTCTGTCCCTGAGGGAGCCCTCAACCATTAACACTGTTTATGATTTCATAGTCATACTACACAGGCATTGGGCATAGCCTATGTAGAATGGGACACATGCCGTGGTATATCCTCCCTCTGACTGATACATCCACATAAAAACCAGTGACCAGGATTTCCTTACCCCCAGTCAAGTACTGCTCATTGCACTGAACACACTTTCCAACAGTGACCTGTGGATTTTGAGGTAACAGTAAAATTGGATGGGATGGGGGGCTACCAGGAATAAAGGAAGGAACAGCTAAATCTTTATGCTGAGTTCATTGTTTCTCTGACTTAAAGCTAAGAGGGTAATCTACCTGCCTGATTGCCCTACCCAAACCATGCTGCTTGGTAAAAGCTTACCTCACTTGAGTTGTAGTCCTTTGCTAAGAAGTTAGGAGAGTGCGAGTCAGGTAGAAGTGCAAACCTTTGAAGTGTATTTGTGTGCAGTCTAGCTAGGCTCACCAGTGCATTTGCTAGCATGTTACTGAGAGTATCCCTAGACCCCCTCACCTCTGGCTCTGCCTTCAGTCACGACCCAGCAAGGCCCTGGGGTACATGAGTTAATGCCCTACTTTCACTTTCTCTGGAGAGAATTCAGCCACAGCAAACACAGATATCCAGCAACAGATGCGGAATAACAACAGCATGCAAATGAGCTGTGGAAACTGATCCTGGTCCCACTGAAGAGAGACTGTAGAAACAAGAGAGGGGCCTGATGAAATTCAGGCAATGAGCTTTGCAACTATGGCAAGCATCACAGCACTCGCCTACTCCTGGCTGGCTGGTTGTCATAGAAACCCATGCTTATAGTTTCTGAGTACATTAGCTCAAAGAGAATGCTTATATTAGCCTACTCCTGTGTTATTAGGAGATGTAGAATACTTCAGGTCTGTGAAATACACTTTTGCTGAGGGATTACTGTGTGAGAGAGTCTGGGGACAAAGAGGAATGCATGGCCCCTTTTCTACCCTGGGAATTGCCTGCCTTACAGGGGAGAAAGGACAAGAAGCTGTAATGGAAGTCATCAGGGCTCCAGCACAGGTGTGAAACCAGGAGCGGAGCGCTGGATTCCTCCTGGATCTGGTCCTTGTTGGAGGAGGTCGTATTTACACAGCGTTTCATGTGAACGATTAGAAAGAGCTTGCTAGTAGCAAACTGGGCTGAACATTCTAGGGAGTAGCCTGAGCAAAGGCATGGAAGCATGGCGGGCTCCCCAGAACGCTAAGTCTGATAAACAAATTTGGCTTCCCAGCATAATGAGCTTTGAGAATTACAGTCAAGCGCTGTTAACTCAGACTCTCCCTCTTCCAAATGTGTTGATTAGTGTCCCCTTCAGCTGAAGTTATCCTGCCATTGACTCAATGAGTTTGCTGAGCGGAAAGTAAGTGAAAGATGTTGGGAAGGAAAAACAGCTCTGAAAAGGAGATGGAGCTACTTTAAGCATGAAAATAACGAAAGCACTGACTATGCTCTGAGTCAGGTGGATGTAGGTTTGATTAACACCTCAATGCCTAATAACTGCATGATTGTAGCAACGTATGCGAGCATTTTCTGGCCCAGCCTTTTGTCTTCGGTGTTTCTATGTATATGTATCATATATGTATGTATATATATATATATTTTTCCCTAAGTGTCTACCACAGTTATGATTAGTCTGTAGTAGCTGTTTGATATTATAAGTGGTTATAAACATAATCATTTAAGTCTTTTATGATTTCTTATGGATTTCCTCAGTGAAACCTCACAGGCTTGGGATAAGTCCTTAGCATGTTAAACAAATTGGCAGAACAACACTCTAAATCGTGAAGGTAACTTCAGATATATCTAGGTTGTTAGCTATTTACCAAGAATTAGTTATTATTCTATTTACCAAAGAAGCTATAGTTTCTCCGATGACATTTCACACACCCCGTCCATTGCTGGCCACTGGGGCAAGTCAGACCGCCACATCAAGACTTCTGATTGGAATCAGGGTCCTTAACACAGAACCTTGGCTGACTCTCTCAGTTGCCTGCAGTGTAAATGCCTGCTCTGGCGGGCAGGGCCCAGGGAGTCACCTTACAGTGATGAGTATATAGCTAAGGGTACCTTCGTTTCTTCCACTCTCTTGTCCCAAACTGGGAAGTATAGTTTTACACGTGGAAATGAATAGAATACCATTCTTTCCTCTGTATAAATATTAATATTGAATTCATTATGTTCTCTCTGGGTAAAGTCACACAGCTGTGCACAATGCCTATCAGTCTGGGAAAATGTGTACCACTCAAAGTCACTAAGAGAACAGATCAAAGTAATTTAACCTGTAAAAGGAAAAAAGTGTTCTGTTGGGCTTAGTTTAAGCTCAATTTGAAGAGCAACAGCAGGAATTCAACTTGCTTCTACTTAGAGGTGTCCAGTTGTCTGACACCCATTGGAAGGGAGCGGTATTTCTCCCAGCTGCCCACCCGATCCACAGTTACTCGTGTGGTCCCACCTCACGCCTCCCTCCTCACCATGTCAGTATGGGGAATGTGTGGATGTAATCCCCTCTTGTTTCTGTCTTCCTGGCCCAGTGTTGTCCTAGGAGTTGCTGTCTCCTCACTAGAGTCCCTCTCACCTCCTCCACCTTTTACAGACATATGTGACATACGTCAGTGAGGCTTTCTGGTTGTTGTCTCACCCTAGATTTCCCAGCAGCTTCTCCCTGAGTGATTGCTAACACTCATTTGCTCTCAGCATAGTGCTATTGCACAGAGGGCTTTGTAAGAATTAGCCAAAAACTTAAAAATACCTTCTTCAAAGGCATATGCTACCATTTCCCCTTTTGGATGAGCAAAAGGGGCCTAGACTGACTGTCGCGTTTATACTAGCACCGGGATTCCAAATCTAGAGCGTGATTCCTGCCTGTTTACAGGGGCTGCTCTTCCCAGGACACAATCATTACAGAACCTGGTTTGCTTTTCTACCTTTGGCTATTTTACCTGTGTTCTGGACTCTGTAGTTGTATATCAGTTTTTTGGATCTATCTATCTATCTATCTATCTATCTATCTATCTATCTATCTATCTATCTATCATCTATTTTTTGGGTAAAGTTGTATCAAATAAACAGAGAAAATTGCTACTAAAATCATGCCAGGAGAGTACAGGTAGTAGCAGGAATGTTGATGTGTCAAAAGCCAAAGTAGAAGGTGAATGTAGTGGAACACCTATCTGTGATCCTAGCAGTTGAAGGCTGAGGAAGACAAATTGTTTTGAGTTTGAAGCCAGCCTGGGTTACATAGTGAGTACCAGACCAGACTGGCCTACATAGCAAGACCCTGCCTCAAAGATCAAAGACAGAAGATCAACTGGCAGGTCAGTGATTTATTTGCCCAGGAAGTTTGGCTGTGGCAGCAGACTTAAAGTTTACTGTATTTCAATCAGATGGTTGGCAGGATCTGGGCTATCTGTTGGTAAATGCGATCAGGTGGTTGACAGGATATGAGCTATCTGTTGGTAAAGCCTTGCCTTTCTCTTGGCAGCAATCAGTTAAGCTGCACAAGCTTGTGGAGGATCACAACAAAGTCCAGGTCACCATTTCAGTAAGAGACAAAGGTAGGTGGCTTGTCCCACTGTCTCCCCACCCACTGTTTCACAGCAGACTACTAGTCGTAGAATTGTCATTATCAAAGACAAAACTTCTCTCTGACTGGACCCAGGACTAGCTGGATAATCAGACCAATTGAGGCCATTTAACTCATAAAACTGAAGGAAGCTAAGACTCCAGATACCCGGGTCTGGCTGGCCTCACCCTCTTCCGATCTTTGGTTACATTATCCTCTTCTTAGAGTTCAGCTTCAAATTTCCTCTGCTCCTACATATTTCATGCAGTAGGACATTAATGTGCAAACTGAAGACTCCGTTATCACTTTTTAATTCGTAATATCCCAAAGACCCTGCACCAAACATTCTAAGCTGTCATCTGGAACTTAGGCTTGAATGGAGCTTTTTGATGCTCGCTGGACCCTTGGGATTTGCTCTGAGTTTCTTCTGAGTAGGATGGCCACACTTTTGTGTAAGGAACAACAAACTGTCACGAGAGCAGCAGATGATCTCTGGACAGTTCACATGTAGCCTTAAAGTGCTCACAGGGTTCCAGTGCCCAGACTGAGCACATAGCAGCTAGAGGAAGCCTCCCTCTTGACCAATGCTATAAAATTTCACTTTGCACAGAGCCTGCCGGCATATCAAGTTCCAAATAGGAACTTGTTGCTCCTTAGCCTTTGAAGGCCCCAGGAAACAATTCCCCAATTCTAATTCCCTTGTAATTTTTCAGTTGAGTGAATAGGGGCCCTGGGCAGGTGAACAGGTAGGGTAGGTCTTGCCCGACTAGAAAATAAGCAGATAAGAGTTCTTAGTTATTTTAATCCTTAAGGTAAGACAAGAAAAGGCTGAGACAGTCATGGAACTTTTTGCTGTTACATAGGTCTGCAGGAGCTGGAGTCCCGTCTCCTGGTTCCGGGAGATATTCTCATTCTTCCAGGGAAAATCTCATTGCCCTGTGATGCTGTCTTGATTGATGGGAGTTGTGTGGTGAATGAAGGAATGCTCACAGGTAGGTCGTCTTAACCCAGCATCCTCTTCCTTACCCAGTAGGCCAAGCAAATCAGGTCAACTATCTCTATCTGGCTGGGGCTAAGCCCTTCCCTAGGAAAAGAAGTAGTTAAGGGAAATCCACTCTGTCTTTTTAGTCAACAAAGACACAGAACACACAGGCAGACAGCACTGGTTAACAATAGGTTTAAGGGAAAACAAATCAAATCAAAACAAACAAACAAACAAATAAAACCCCCCCCAGAAGAAACATTTACTTCTTGCTGAATGGTTGTCTGAAGGAGTGAACAGAAGAAGGCTTGGGCAGGTGAACAGGTGGAAATCCAGTATCTTCACAAATCTGAGACCGATGCTATCTGTATGCAAAGATAACACAGTCTAAAAAACCATCAGGTCTCAAACAGAAGTGAGGAGAGATCTGCATAGCTATGTGCTCTATAGGTGGGAAGTACACACTGGAAAGTTCGAGGGAGCCTTACCACAGGGGACAGTGTGCTGCTCTGTTCTTCAGGGTTACAGCCTCTGTTGGTCTCACATCGCAGTTCAGGGGGCTCCAGGGTTCATCTATAGTTTGTAAAGTCTTCTTATAATTGTGTAACCAGGAAGCTGTTATTTATACAATTGCTCTTTAGTTACGGAAAAAACTGTTAGAACAGTACATTTTAGTGAGATAGACATTTCAGAAACATGAGCCTGAAAGCTGTTTGTCCTTTGTGCTGACCAATTATTAAACTTTCCAGTTTTCATATGGTACAAAGACATGAAGGAAGAAGTGCACACAAACCTTGAACATGACCTGAGTGAAACAGAAATCCATTGTCCTAAATAGTTCAACACAAGCAGATCTTACATTTACAAATGGGTTTACTTAATGCAAAAATTAAGACAAAATGTACTAAGCTAAATATTTTTGGTATAACTGCAAACTGTCTCCTTTAATGTGTTGAAGTCTAGTGGTGGTGGTGATGAGGGTTTGCACACGAAGTGTTGCCATAGGACCCAATGTGTAAACCTCAAGCTGTAAAAGCCATTGGTTGGCGTCTGTCCCATGTGTCCCCACAGCTTGAGTGTGCTGGCACTCTGCTTTTCTCACTGGGAAACAGAGAGCACAACATGAGGACATCAGAGGCAGGAAAGGCAGAAAGGTTTGGGCCCATCTGCTTCTTCCCTTTCATGATGTACAGGATTTGCCTTGAGTCTCAGGACAAGCTAGAAAGGTCCAAAGAATTAAAAGTGAGGTAAAATGTCTGTGGATGTCAATGGGCCTTTCTTATATTAGCTAGCAGCAGCATCCACATATCCTGAGTGCCAAAAATAAATGATCCATGTTAGAGACATATCCAGTGAAACAAATACATGTGAAAATGACTATATGTTTCTTTTTTTTTAATAGCACACACATCTCTTTCTTTCTTTTTTTTCCTTCTACCCTGACTTCAGCCTGAGAAACCAGGTCCCTTAAGGGAATATATATATATATATATATATATATTGGATATTTTATTTACCTTTCAGATGTTATCCCCTTACCCCATTTCTTCCCCCAGGAACCCTCTATCCTATCCCCCCTCCTCCTTCTTCTATGGGGATGTGCCCCCACCCACCCACCCACTTCCACCTCCCCACCCTCAAATTCTGTGGGGGAATTCAGCATCCAGCCATCATGGGACCAAGGATCTCCTCTCCCACCTATGCCTGACAAAGCCACCTCCCCTACATATACAGCTGGAGCCATGGGTCCCTCCCTATTTGCTCCCAGGCTGGTTGGTGGTTTAGACCCTGGGAGCTGTGGTTGGTTGGTATTGTTGCTCTCCTCGTGGTGCCACAAACCCTTTCAGCTCCTTCAGTCTTCTCTCTAACTCCTCTATTGCGAACCCCATTATCAGTTCAATGGTTAGCTGTGAGCATCTGCCTCTGAATATGTCAGACTCTGGCATACCTCTAAGGAGACAGCTATATCAGGCTCCTGTCAGCATGCACTTCCTGACATCCACATCAGTGTCTACCTTTGGTGACTGCACATGGGATGGATACCCAGGTGGAATGGTCTTCAGACAGCCACTCCTTCAGTTTCTGTCCCACACTTTGTCTCCATTTTTGCTCCCTTGAGTATTTTGTTACTCTGTCTAAGAAGGACCAAAGCACCCACACTTGGTCTTCCTTCTTCATGAGCTTCATGTGGTCTGTGAGTTGAATCTTGGGTATTTCAAGCTTCTGGGCTAATATCCAATTATCAGTGAGTGAGTGCATACCATGTGTGTTCTTTTGTGATTGGGTTACCTCACTCAGGATGATATTTTCTAGTTCCATCCATTTACCTAAGAATTTCTCGAATTCATTGTTTTTAATAGCTGAGTAATACACCATTGTGTAAATGTACCACATTTTTTTGTATCCATTTCTCTGTTTATGGATATCTGGGTTCTTTCCAGCTTCTGGTTATTATAAATAAGGCTGCTATGAACATAGTGGACCATATGTCCTTGTTATATGTTGGAGCATCTTCTGGGTATATGCCCAGAAGTGGTATAACTGGGTCCTCAGGTAATGCCATGTCCAATTTTCTGAGGAAATGCCAGACTGATTTCCAAAGTGGTTGCACCATCTTGCAATCCCACCAACAATGGAGGAGTGTTCCTCTTTCTCCACATCCTCGCCAGCATCTACTATCACCTGAGTTTTTGATCTTAGCCATTCTGACTGGTGTGAGGTGGAATCTCAGGGTTGTTTTGATTTGCATTACCCTGATGACTAAGGATGTTGAAGATTTCTTTAGGTGCTTCTCAGCCATTTGAGTTTCCTCAGTTGAGAATTCTTCGTTTAGATCTGTACGCCACTTTTAAATAGGGTTATTTGGTTGTCTGGAGTCTAATTTCTTGGGTTCTTTGTATATATTGGATATTAGCCTTTTATCGGATGAAGGATTGATAAATATCTTTTCCCAATCTGTTGATTGCTGTTTTGTCCTATTGACAGGGTCCTTTGCCTTACAGAAGCTTTGCAATTTTATCAGGTCACATTTGTCAATTCTTGCTCTTAGAGCATAAGGCATTGGTGTTCTGTTTAGGAACTTTTCGCCTGTGCCTAGGTATTCGAGGGTCTTCCCCACCTTCTCTTCTATTAGTTTCAGTGTATCTGGTTTTATCTGAAGGTCCTTTATCCACTTGGACTTGAGCTCTGTACAAGGAGATTAGAATGGATCAATTTGCATTCTTCTACATGCTGATCTCCAGTTGAACCAGCACCCTTTGTTGAAAATGCTGTTCTATTTCCACTGGATGGTTTTAGCTTGTCAAAGATCAAGTGACCATAGGTGTGTGGTTTCATTTCTGGATCTTCAGTTCTATTCCATTGATCTTCTTGCCTGTCTCTGTACCAATATCATGCCGTTTTTTTTTTTTTTTTATTACTACTACTATTGCTCTGTAGTACAGCTTGAGGTCAGGGATGGTGATTCCCCCAGAAGTTCTTTTATTGTTGAGAATAGTTCTCGATATCCTGGGTTTTTTGTTATTCCAAATGAATTTGCAAATTGCTCTTTTTATCTCTATGAAAAATTGATTTGGAGTTTTGATGGGGATTGCATTGAATCTGTAGATTGTTTTTGGTAAGAATGCCATTTTTACTGTTTATTCTGCCAATCCACGAGCATGGGAGATCTTTCCATCTTCTGAGATCTTCTTTGATTTTCTTTCTTCAGAGACTTGAAGTTCTTGTCATATAGATCTTTCACTTACTTGGTTAGATTCACACCAAAGTATTTTATAGTATTTGTGACTATTGTGAAGGGTGTCATTTCCCTAATTTCTTTCTCAACCTGTTTATCCTTTGAGTAGAGGAAGGCTACTGATTTGTTTGAGTTGATTTTATATCCAGCCACTTTGCTGAAGTTGTTTATCAGATTTAGGAGTTCTCTGACAGAAGTTTAGGGTCACTTAAGTATACTATCATATCATCTGCAAATAGTGAAATTTTGACTTCTTCCTTTCCTATTTGTATTCTTTTGACCTCCTTTTGTTGTCTAATTGCTCTGGCTAGGACTTCTAGTACTATATTGAATAGGTAGGGAGAGAATGGGCAGCCTTGTCCAGTCCCTGAATTTAGTGGGATTGATTCAAATGTCTCTCCATTTAGTTTGATGTTGGCTACTGGTTTGCTGTAAATTGCTTTTTCTATGTTTAGGTATGGGCCTTGAATTCCTGATCTTTCCAAGGCTTTTACCATGAAGGGATGTTGAATTTTGTCAAATGCTTTCTCATCATCTAGCGAGATGATCATGTGGTTTTTTCTTTGATTTTGTTTATATAGTGGATTACATTGATGGATTTCCGAATATTGAACCATCCCTGCATTCCTGGGATAAAACCTACTTGATCATGATGGATGATTGTTTTGATGTGGTCTTGGATTCGGTTTGCTAGAATTTTATTGAGTATTTTTGCATCGATGTTCATAAGGGAGATTGGTCTAAAGTTTTCTTTCTTTGTCGTGTCTGTGTGGGTTTTGGGTATGAGTGTAATTGTAGCTTCATAGAATGAACTGGGTAGTGTTCCTTCTGTTTCTATTTTGTGGAATAGTTTGAAGAGAATTGGTATTAGGTCTTCCTTGATGGTCTGATAGAATTCAGCACTAAAACCATCTGGTCCTGGGCTTTTTTTAATGGGGAGACTTTTAATGACTGCTGCTATTTCCTGAGGGGTTATGGGACTATTTAGATGGTTTATCTGCTCCTGGTTTAACTTTGGTACCTGGTATCTGTCTAGGAAATTGTCCATTTCATCCAGGTTTTCCAGTTTTGTTGAGTATAGACCTTTGTAGTAGGATTTGATGATTTTTTGAATTTCTTTAGTTTCTGTTGTTATGCTCCCTTTTCAGTTCTGATTTTATTAATTTGGATACGGTCTCTGTGCCCTCTGGTTAATCTGGCTAAGAGTTTATCTATCTTGTTGATTTTCTCAAAGAGCCAGCTCCTCGTTTTATTGATATTTTGTATTGTTCTTT